AAAGGCCTGACTCAGCTCTCAGTCTCAAAATCACCATATCATGAATGGACCACAGGGACTCTCTACAGAGAAATGTACATAATGACCATGATCAGGCAATCCAAGCTTATATGAACTTTATCTCCCAAAATACAGAAAATACTCTGAGTAAAACAGCTGTGATCACATAGCCTTTCTCAAATTTGCCATCTATGCACAACTTCTAGCAACAATATATTCAGTGTGTTTCACTGTATTCAGATCTCTTCAGTGAATTAATTTTTTGAGTATTTGAAATATTTCACAGCTCACATTACTGTGTAACTACCACAAGATATTTAATACCTGGATATGCAGATTTTCTATATTCTGTTGCTGGGCGACTCCTTAAGTTTATATAATAGCTCTCAATGGGTTCTTCAACTTCTTTTTTAAAAAATAAGTTTACATGTGTCTTCCTTAAACTGCAGATATTTATGAAAATCATTCTGAATGGATATTGAAAGGGAAATGTCTAGCCTGAATTGGTGCACAGGCTCTAACAATCTGAAAAACTGTTTGCAGAGTTACAGTAGCTTTAATAAATACATCCATGTTGACACACACCCATAAATATATATCCCTTCAGTTTCAGTGCACACAGGGTTCCTTCCTAGCACTGCCAGAAGTCCTTAAGAAAAAGTAATTTACTTTGCTGAGGCAAATTCAGAAACTAAGTCCATAACCGCCCTGGGGAAAATGCAGTAGCCTGTCTCTCAGCAAACTTTATGCAAGTTTTCTCTTAAATAACTGCCATTAGAAATCCTCGCTCAGCACTTCTTTTACAAATAATTCTTAAAAAGTAAAGCTGCCCCTATGGCACAATGATTTCTAGACTGTTTTTTCTGCTTTTTTTTCCCTCCCTACACTCAATATATGAGCAAGATAAATCGCTACAGAACCTGCAGCTCATTCTACTAGGGAGCAGTAGATTTAACAGCAAAGCCAAAAGAAGTCTCAAAATGTGCAATCCCCAATTTATCTTCTGTTCTCATCCAAGCAGCAATGAAGACATAGTGAGTCTGCCAAACCTGGGAGTAATGCAATAATTCTTGGTACAAAAACTTGTAAACTAACAAGAACACTGAGAAATGTGACTCTTCACAGCCTCAATGGTCTTTTATGAACAATAAAGATCTTAATAACAAGCTGTGCAAATAATGAAGTCTCTGATGTTGTAATTTATGAGAGATCAGCAAATCACAGGAGGTCCAGAAAGGTGTCTGGCACTTTGGTGAGCAGGCTGACAGCTCTGCCCCTTCCCCATGGACAAGTACAGAACTATTTACTAACAGGCTTGAGCATATTTCTGCCGAAGCACTGATGGAAAGTGGGGGAGTTATTTGTGCTCAGGCTTTTGCATTTCAGACAGGAAGACACTGATCTGCCTGGACTGAACTAATTAAGGGCTAATTGACTGTCTAGCACCTATATAGAGATAACTCACCCACGCCATCTCCCACTGGAAACTGCAATGACTATTAGCATAGAAAGGATTGTTTATTTCGTGGTCAGCATAAGACAGTCATAAGTATTTGTTAGTAAGAGCAGAAAGAGGGCAGATGAGGATATGGATGTTTTTAATGGATGATTAAATCTGGGTAGCTTGATCTCCTTTCATGCTGTGGATGTTGTGTGCTGCAGTCACGCCTCTTGCTGCCAGCCTGCACTGGGATGATAATCACTCACTATGAAAACTCATTAGCTCCACAGCAATGAGCCCTCCACTGCTGAAGCTTGGTGCTGTCCTCAGTACCATGGCAATGATCTCTAACTGGATGTCCCAAACTCTCCCTTCTCTGGTAGGACTAAATACCACCAGAATAACCACTTCAGATACTCTAGTAAGTAGCTGTTATATGTTGCAAGCTATCTTAATGCTGAATTAGTATTTAAGTGCCAGCAAAAGCATTAGTTTGTTGCCTTTTTGTAAATCTCTTTTTTACCTACTAATCTTCCTATCATCTCTTAATGCATGCTTCTTTTTGGGCATCATAAAACTGCACATTGATGAGCATGTTGGGGTCTTACAATTAAAGGGAAGGTTTTGAAATAGTATCCTTAAATATGTAAGAACAAATGCCTTCATCTTGAACATGAAATGCTAAAAAGAATACAGCAATGTCTTTTCATTTGTCTAGACTGTTCTTCCTATTTTTAATGCTACAGAAAAATGCATTGTGTTGTTTAGAAAATTATATCTGGCATTACATTTATTTTTGAAAATTGGATAATGTTACCTAGTAACTATTCACTACATATGCAAAGTGTCTGATTCCTTCTTAGTTTTCTTTATTGGAATACAGTTAAACAAATAAATAGCTGTTAGAAACAAAATTAAATTGGTACTAGGGGGCTAGATACCAGAATTTTTGAAAGGGTGATAATGGGAATAACACAAATGACAGAAATATCATTTTGTAACATTGACGTTCATATGCAGCAGCCTCAGTTAATAAAAACCTACAGGAAAGCTGTGAATAGCTATGAACTCATGAGGAGCCTAAACAGTCAAGTAACTTTACTTTAGAGGGAACACTATCCTGGTATCCATAAGTTATATTAGAACATAACTTTCCTCAATCCTTAGTAAAACACTCTTGTCAATGTAACTTTTTGTGTGACTGTAATCAGATGTTTACATAATAGTAGGTTATGTAAAATATAAATGTAACTGTAGTAGCTCACAATTCTCAAAACTCAGAATTTTGTAACTAAAAATTATGCATTTACTAATCAACATGGAATAATTGAATATATGCATGCAGGAAAAATATTGTTGTAGAAAATCACTGTATTTAGTATATAAATATTATTACTTCAAAATTAATTATGTTGTAAGAAAAATTCAGTTGTCTTTTAGAGCAGCAAGATGGGAATACAAAGAAAAGCTCTATTTTATTTTCCTTATTGAGACAAAATGTAATTGTCTCACTGAGTCACAGTATATATTGCTAGTTCTTATAGCTATATAAGTAGAAGTTCCCTATCACATTTACATCCAAGTTTAAAGTTGCAACTGAGTAACTACAAGATGCACACTAGTTTTTATTATATTAATATATATATATATTACACACACACAAATATATGTGTTTGTACTGATATGTTCAGCTTCCAAGTAGTACAACATGTCATGGAGCCCTTGGCTACAACATGGCACTGCTGATAGAAATGCCTTCTAAATATTATTTCAAGAATGCTCTTTTCACTCATTGAGTTGAGCTATATGCATTTTTTTTGTTTGAATAAGGGTAGCAAGAGTTCCAGTAGAGCAGGGAAAGTGATCATAAAATCTTGATTATCTGAGCTTGGCAACATCTGCCAAATAAAGAAAACATGAATTTCAGTCATGTAGGGTTCTTTTTACACAAAACTGAGCACCACAAATCTGGTACCTTTCTTAAAACTGTAGATGTTGGTTGAAAGACTTTATGCCCCAAGCGCTCAGTAATAGCAGGGTCATTGCTAACTGATTTTTGGCTGCCATCCAGAGTTCCCCACTTGGAGCTTCTCTAGTGAACTTTGCAGCATGAGCACTTCTCTAGAATTTCTCTCCTAGCACATACACAGCTCACAAATTGTGTATATTGTACAATGTAAAAAAATGAAAAAACCTCCCAATTTCCTCCCTTCAGCTGGAAGAATTGTACAAGGATTTGGAGCCAGATAAAGGGTCTCCTCTTTTGAGCTCTGTTTCAGTACCAGAGTTGAAATTGCAAGACAAACTATCTTCAATTACTTCTTCAGAGGAGTCACTGTTGTGAAAAGCCTGTGTTCTTTTCTTACCTGAATCCACAGAGATTCTGGCACCACTTTAGAGATGAGGAACTCTGCAACTCCTGCACTAAGGTGCCAGGAAAGCATCAATATCAAAGCTTCCCAGTTTAAATAATCACTTTCTCTGCTGGCACTGAGTACAATTTTATATATAAATAGCAACTGATTCCAACTGTGTCCAGACCAAAATTACTTCAATTATATCCATTAGCATCTGTACCATGAAATTCATCACTCAGTGCAATATTAGAAAAGAATAAAGCACAGTATTAACTTTCAATTATAGTTTAAAAAGGAAGTTCAAAAACTGTTTCTTGTACCTATTAAGTTCCATCACTTGAATGCTTTCAGTCATTTCATTATATTGTTTTCTGTCATCCCTACACTATTTCTGTACATCCCATTAAAGAGATACCAAATCCTACACAAACATTAAATGCAGTTCAGTGTTACCCTGCTCTGCAAACAAATGTGATTTTTTTTTTTTTTTTTTTTTTGCCTTTCTTTCTCAGTTGTGTTGCTGTAAAAAAGAACAGATTATGAATTTCCAGTTTTCTGCTATCCCAGTGAAGGACATGCAGTGTCTTAATGGCCCTATGGTTTGCTTGCCATGAGCCCCACCATTCCCCTGGCCTAAGCACTTTTCCATCCCACCCTGAGCAAGCCCCTGGTTCCTTTGGCTAATGCAGTGGAAGCCCAGGGAGAACAGCTCCTGTGAGCTGCAGCTTCAAGAGCACACCTGTCCCCCACATCCAAACTGCTGCTGAGCCAGTTCCCACCCGTGAGTCACACACTGTGCTCTCCCCAGGCTCTATGTTTGTTCTTTCCTGTCTTTGTTGTTTCCGTGAGTCTAAAGTAAAAGTCATCCAGGCTGAAAGGACACAGTTGTTTTCTGCTGCTGAAAAACTGTAACTTCCCTTTGCAAAGAATTAAATCAGCTGGTTTGTGCTGAATCACAAGCAGAATACCATTCTCATCCACCCTGGAAACTGTGTGCTAAACTCCTCTAGAGAACTATTGCAAAGCTGTGAGAGATGGCAAAACTGGGAAACTGCCAAACTAATTAGTTAAGAGTAATAATTGTTGACTAGTAGGAACCTCATTGCAGACATGTACTGCAAAAATAAAAATAATCTGCTGCAGTGTTGTTTTCAAACAACAAAAAATCAGTTCCTTTGATTGTTATTATTTTGTTGTTTCAGACTCAGATTAGCCCCAAGGAAGGGTGGCAAGTTTATAGTTCAGCCCAGGATCCTGATGGCCGTTGCATTTGCACTGTTGTTGCACCTGAACAAAACCTATGTTCGAGAGATGCCAAAAGCAGGCAACTCAGACAACTACTAGAGAAGGTAAGTCTTCCCAAGAAATTCCTCCTCTTGGTCATTAAACTTCCCATGGAAATCTACTGCTTTCCTTCTCAGTTAATGCACAATGAACTGATGGAGAGAGTTACCTGATAAAAATTGTTATTCAGGGTATATCCCCTATCTGTTTTCTCACCTCTGATTGTTATTTATCCGTTTTCCTTACATCACACCTTTCCCAAGCCAAGCATCTTCTCTTAGTCACTCTTCCAAAATTCTTTCTTACATACAACAGGACAGATTTTTCTGTGTAAAATCAGTTACAAATCTCACCTCAAAATAGCTCAGGCATTTAAACTACAGCTTCTGCTTCGATCATATGAGACTGCTGAAGGTCATTTCTCATCTCTTATTAAAAAATAATGAGAGAGACAAAAAGCATCTTGAAAGCCAACTGTGTAGAGCATAAACAGGTCTAATTTTTTTATCGTTTCTTTTTCTCAAATTTATTTATTCATTTTCTGATGGTGCAAATTTTCCCCAACAGCCCAATTCTTATCCAGTATTATCCACTATTGCGTATGGTGAAACCAATGAAGTCTTGTTTTGCATCAATAGAAAAATGCTGCAGCTATGAAAACACAAACATTCTGCATTCTCTGTATAAGTAAGCAAGGTTATAGTTTCTGTATCACAGCCTGTGGTACAGAACCTGAGGCCCGAGAGAGTGCTTGAATAGCAGCAAAAATCAGCATAAAATGTAGACTTGAAAATACATTTTTAGCGCACAATTTTTAGTATTTTTCTAGCTATAGAAAAATCATTCCAGTGTTAATATAGTGCCAGATCCCCACAGATTTTTGTGCTCTGTGCTTTCATGAAATTCAGAGGGACTGGGTTTAAGTTGACAGAGCCCATAACATGAGATGAATGGAGAGGACATAGATGGAACAGCAGAGAGAAAAGGAGCTGCCTCCTCTCATGGGGTCTGTTTACTTGAGAAAGGAACACTCCAGTCTTTGCTCCAGCATACTCCCCAAATACTCAAATATTACTTAAAAAAACCCTTTATATTTTGAGGTGGGGGCTGGAGGGGTGTGAAAAAATCACAGCATCATTTTAGAGCTGTCACAGAAATGAACCTCAATCACAGCCTCTCAAAGCTATTTTCTTATGATTAGGACTGTGGCAATCATGTGGCAAACACCTCTCTGGTGACTGACACAGCCCAGTTTATCTTTGGATAGTCTTATGAATGCCTTATATTGAATGATTCTATAAATGCCTACTAACAAGGAAAGTCATGGTCCTCATACCAACCAAAATCTCCAAATTTCAGTCCTGTCCCTGCCAAAGTGCCTGGAAGGAAGTATATGCTATATGAGCACCTTCTGAACCACAGTCACATCTACTACAGGTCTCAAAGTAGACTATTGCCTGACAGCCTTTCCTGACCCCAGTGAAAATGATGTTTAAAGGATCTCTCTCTCTCTCTTTAGCTATAAGTAGTCCAAACAATCTTTGGCTTCAAGGCCTCTCCCTGTTCCCCAGTATTTGTACCGTCATCAGTTAGGGAATGTAGAACTGTACCATGGTAGAAATGACTCACAGCTAACTGACAGAAGTGCATTTCATTGCCTGACATTTAACCAGGAATAAAAGCAAAGCAACAAAAAGTACATTTAGAGAATGTTCTTCTTTAACAGGTTCAGAATATGTCCCAATCTATTGAAGTTTTAAATCTACGGACTCAGAGGGATTTCCAGTATGTTTTAAAAATGGAAACGCAAATGAAAGGGCTGAAGGCCAAGTTTCGGCAGATTGAAGATGATCGGAAGACATTAATGACAAAGCACTTTCAAGTAGGTCCAACTTTTACAGTAACTTCCAAGCCTGCTGGAAACAATGTACTGAGTAACAATGCATGGACAGCTATGGTCTCAGCTCAAAAGGCTCCTACAAGAACACCATTTAAAAGAAAAGCATAATAAATCTTCCTTTATGATGATAATCTTTTGCTTTGTTCTATTTAATTGTAATAGGGAGGCATTATTAATTATTAAGTCATTAGAGAAATGTCACTATAAACAGATTCCTGTTCTTTCTGTATCAATGTGCATGTCATACTGAGAAATTTATATTCATTCAAGCTCCAGTGCTAAAGGGTGAGATCCAGTGGAATTAATAGCAAACAAGTAAGAGTTCTGTGCTCATACTGTTCCATGACATTTACTGCAGTTGAAGGGAAGAAAGGCTATAATAAATCAGTTTATTGTAATTTTTATCCAGTACAATTAAGATCTAATTTCATGTCTGAAGATCTGCTGTTTTGAATTTGGGATGGGGAGGAGAGCAATCATTCCCAGTCACATTTGTCTGATTAAAAAAAAGACTTCCACTGAATTTTAATGACAACAAAAACCACAAGCCAATCCTTTTGTGAGGAAGAAGGGTTGCAGTTATTTACAAGTAACATTCTGTATTCTGAAAATGCTACCTGATGTACTCTTCAGGAGAAAAATATTTCAAGAGCATATTTAAATTCTTTAAATATAGTCTGATAAATTGATCTTTCAAGACTGCGAGACCACAAAATAGGTGCTAGAAAATACATTCCAAGGATTACATTATGTTAAGCAAATATATATTTTTTGAAGTATTTCTGAAAGTTCACATAAACCTAATTTTCCAATTGGTACTAGAGTTAAAGACCTAAATAATTACATAGTCAAGAGGTCTAGGGTTTTTTTTCAGAGCCACTGAATATCAAGTGGGTCTTAATAACATCAGGAATTAAGTACACTAATGATCTGACTACCAAGCTTTATAAATTATATCACTTTTTGAGCACATTCTCTGAGGTTTTTAGTTAATAGAAAATATCTATCATCACTTTTTTTTCCCTTTTATCCCTTATTGCTACAATAACAATGCATTTGCATAATTCCATTGTATATCCTTTATTCTTATTTTAGTTTTCCTTGGGAATAAAATACCAAAATTTGAATGTCTGATACACAATATCAGAGGTGTACTCCAGTACACCTGGAGTACCAGAGCAATACTCCAGTGCTCTAACCTTTTAAATATTCAATATTTCTATTGGCCAGTCATTTACCTTCAGTTTGACAGTTTGCCAGGAGTATAAAACAGAGTTCCAGCCCATTCAGTTACAAAATAATTTAAAAGGTCAAAATAATACAATATGCTGCTCTGAAATTTAGGTTACTCAAATTCCAGTGCTTTATCTTTTCTGAGACAAAGAAATCATGTTGGATATAATATAACCCTTCATATCAACTGCCACAAAGTGCCAGAACACATCTACCAACTATCTGTGTAGCAACAGAAATTAGCTCTTGTACCACCCATTGCAGCAACAAGCTCTGGAGTGTCAGCAGAAGTCAATTGGTTTTTTATCATGAAAATACTAGAATCAACTTTATATGATATACTAAAGTGAGATGTTCTAAATCTGTGTTTTCATACTGGCCAGAACCAAGGAGTACAAATTTAGTCCAGATCACACTTGAGCATACACTCAGTCTATACTTCACTTTATGCTGGGCAGGAGGTACCTGATTGCCACAAAAAGTTACAGCAAGTTTGCTCAAATACGATACAATATCTGGTATAAATCCAATCAGGAATATATTACTTTCACTAATTCAAACAGATTTTATCTTCCTGAGTTGGCCATTCACTGTCTCACAGAACAGGAGCCTAAGTTCATAATTTCAAAATGAAGTAACAAAAACTATGGTTTCTCTGTCACAAAGCCTGCTTCCCTTGTCATCAAGGAAAAAATTACTACTCATTTTAACAGTCATAAAGTAGATTTAGATTAAGATTTTATTAAAAACAGTAAATAAAAATAGATTAATTGTAAACAAAAGGACTTCATTTCTTTGTGCCCATTTTGGTAACTGCTGCTATAATGTAATTGGAAGACCCCTTGAGAACAGAATCATCAAAATACTATGAAATCTATATATAATGACATATCTGCTACATTTCAGTAAAGCAAAATCTTTTCACTACAAGGATTCTTCGAGGTTTTTTACAGAATAATAACAAAAAACAACTTCATACAATTGGTTTAAAGTAAATTTAGTAAAGCCCCTATTATTAGTGCTTTTAAAAGAACAATTAAGAAATGAAAGATGGGCAACCAATATATGCTACAGATTAATACAAATTTTCAAAATATGAGTCACAAAAAAAATCTGAGAAAAGAGCAGTCTGAGATTTCAAGATGGAGCCTTACTTTCTTCAGTCAATGTTTAAGAATAGGATTGGCAATGCAACAACAACTGCACATGGAAAAATTTTCATCTTCTTATTAAAGACACACTTGGGGTGGTTTCTATCCCCTGGATGGAAAGTCAGTGGGTTTGGTTCAGATCATTTGAGGACAGCTCTTTATTCTCAATAGAAAGACTATTGTCTCTTGCATTTCATCTACTGCTTACTACCATTAAGTCCAAGGTGTCTGAGACTTTCGCAGTAACTAATAGTAGATCTGTAACTAAAATAATAATTTTCAAATTGTTTTAATAATCAGGCATCAATATTGCGTTAAAGGAAATTAGGGGATTGAACTCCTTTAAACATCTCTAATGCACATATGATTGCCTTTAACAGGAGTTGAAAGAAAAGATGGATGAGCTTCTGCCACTGATCCCAGTTCTGGAGCAATACAAAACTGATGCCAAGTTGATCACACAGTTCAAGGAGGAAATTAGGAATCTGTCTACTGTGCTCACTGGGATTCAGGAAGAAATTGGTGCTTATGACTATGAGGAACTACACCAGCGTGTAGTCAATTTAGAAACCAGGCTTCGTGACTGCATGAAAAAGCTCAGTAAGTTAACAAGTTCATGGGAAGTTTGGTCCCTTGGCTGTGCATTTTTAGTTGTCTCTCTTTAGAAAAATTAAGGTTTGGGGGGAGGGGTTATTTGTTGGTTTCTTTGATGAAAGACTGCATTATATTCAGATCTGTGCTACCCTAATAAAAGACAAGAGTAACTCAACCTAAGGTCAGTTATATCATTCTAAGTACATGACATAATGTCATGCCTTACTGTATACAGAAGGAATTTGATTAAAAATTATAACAGCAAATTCAAAATCTGCAGTTTAAACCACTTGGAGAGTTACAAATATTCTTTCAAAAAAGCTCAGACAGACAATACTACTAGAGTCATCTTCGGGCTGTCAATGTGAAAAAAAAAAAAGTAGTGAAAAGTAGAATTGAATCAGTTTTGAGATGTCCACATCATAACCCTGGCATCTTGCTGTATCACCTGAGAGGCCACTCTGACTGTAATGTCTTTAGCCTGTAATATTAGTGCTAAGGAGATCTCCCATTCTCCAATTAGCATTACAATCTAACCAAACTTCATATCTAACTTAAAAAGACCAAAGCATAATTTCTGCAGAATGCACAGCAGCAATCCATTGATACTGCTGCACCAGGTCAGGCCACCTCCACCTCAGCTGCTCCCATGCTGCCTTTAGAAGTCAAATGTTGAGCATTTTTGAAAATCAGCATTAGCTCAGTATCAGCTACTAAAACTAAGGGCCTGAAGGATCAATATCAAGTGTCAGCCTCTACTTCCATCAGGGATAGACAACCTGCTTTACAAACACAATGCAGTCCTCTCTCTTCCCATCTATCCATGCATTTGGAGATTTCTGAATGGATCACTATTGCAACTGGATAACTACAGGAAATAATCCAACCCCTTCATGAAAAATAAACACTTTACAATTTAACACTAAACATGAATAAACTTGAAATTCCAAGATTTAGTCCTGAGGACTAAACTACCCTGGACATTAAATATCTTCTTAACTGGATAAGCAGAGCCTCCTTATTTTTGTGATGCAGCAGAATGAAAAAAATCTAGGTTAAGTTAGCCTCTTAAATAATTTATTTCTTTATTTTATTCTGGAAATAGCACAGTGGTGATGTGCTAAAATACATGAAAGACTTCTTCAAACAGAAATTCCTTATGATCCTATTTTCCCCTCAGTACACACACAAAATAGCACATTACTGCATTGACAGAAGGCAGTCAGGAGAAAACAGCTGTGTTGCAATACTGCAGCAAACAAGAAAATTCCTGTGAATAAACAGTATTTTCTGATAATGAATGTTCCAGTAAGTTATTAGATATCAAAAATCATCAGGTTAACAAGTATCTTGGTTTTTTTTGCTTTTACAGCATCTTGTTACAGGAGTTAGTGAAGCAATGAGTGTGAGCTATATTTTGTACAACAGAATTACTAGGTGCATTGACATTCTATCTACCCTGAATTCCTGCAACACATTCTAATCTCTTGATGTACGTAATGAAAAAAAAAAAAAAATGAAAATTATATACATTATCAGTAGAGAGAAAGTTTTTGTATAAAATAAATTATTAAGCATACCCATTAACAAAAGGGAGTGGACCTTCTCAAGATGTAACACAGATTCATTCATCCTTATTGGCGTTATTCCCTGGTCTTAGATGCTTAAATTATTTTTATGGTCCCCTACTAATGGACTGGCTGTTTTTCTGGCCTATCTCTACGTACCTTTTGAAGTACAAACAGCCTCAGTTTGGCTTCCTGTAACTGCTGAAGCTGGGGCTGTGTGCTCAGACCAGAGAGCACGAGGGGAAAGCAGCTTTCCTGCCAACACCTCTTTGTGGCCACATTGGCCATGCTGGAGATGACCCAGCTGTGCCTGTCCATGCCAGCCTGATAACCAGAAGCCAATGGCCCCAGTGTGCCACAGGATCTGGCTTGAATCTTCACAGATTTTGTTGCACTTCACAATAAAATTTTGTAATCAGTGTATGGAATAACTACTCTCTATTCTTCTCCCTAGCAGGTGTTTTTCAGCAGTATAATGCATTATTTATATTGTCCTGGCCACTTAAAAGGGTTCTTCCATCTGCACAGGCAACACTTTCAACGCTCATTACAGTACACTAAGCATTATCTTACTCTCACTGAGGTTTAATAATTACCACAACAGTTGTGATGACTGAATTTTGCTCCTTCTCTTTGGAATAAGAGAAAATACAAGATTAAGCTGCTGGGAAATTAGTTGACAAAACTTTCAAAGGGTGCATGCAGCTGAACACATAGAAATAGAGTGCATTTGATTACACACACCCCAAATTCACATGGAACTAGGCATGTGTGGGTCCTTTGCTGATAGTCCTGTAAGTCATTGGTATTTATAAGAGAATGCAGGTTGCACAGTATGCTTTGAACCCTCCTATTCTTGTTATGACATGTTTATGAAGTTGGGTTAAAACTTACATGGGTAGCATTCATAGAATACTCTGACATATAACTAGATATATATCGGATTAAGGTCTGCCTGCATCTGATTATAATGTAGACTCTGAACAATATTTTACAGGAACATTTTTTGTTAAAAATTCAAATGTAGAATATTCTATGTATCCAAAGAAGTTCTGTTACATCAGTGGCAGAGGAGCTATTAGTGCAGGCATGAGAAAATTTATTGTAGTGGTACTTCTACTTCCAAAGCATCCTTCCTTTTGGGATTTGAAGAACTTTACAAATATCATTTAGTATAAAACTGGGCAATAGAAATATAGATTCTTATCCCTCTTTTGTAGATGAAGGAACAAGGAGCCCAAAAGTATAAACGAATTTTCTAAAGATTACATGGCAAGTCATGGCACTTATGCAGAAAAATTCAGGGACTTCCTCTCAGCAAACCCGAATAACTATATTATAGTGCATCATGGATTCATATTTTTCAGGAAATTAGACATACATTAATTAAGAACTAACTCTTCATTCACTCATTTTAGTCCATTGTGACAAATTTTACCATAAGCAGAAAAGTGCAAGCAGTAAACCACTTGGAACGCATTTGTGCAAGTGCAAAAAAACCTCACTTCATTTTCCCTTATTTATTACCTACCAAAAAAGAAAAACCATAATAATGATGCTTATGAACACATCAAGAGAATGTTGTGGTTTTATTTCCCTTACCAGTCCTTCTACAAATGATACACTCAGTTGCTCTGTATGGCAGCCACCAATATTCAGTCATGTCATAGAGAATGGGACTTTCTACCCATTTCTAGCTATTCCAAAAGAGCTCCTCTCCAGCTGCACTATCACAGCCTTCTCCTGGTACTTGCTCACTTTGGAGCTTTCCAGACACATTCTGCCTCATACTTTCATATCCCACAGGCTGTACCAAAGTACATCTATTTTCTCTGCTAATGGTCACTTCATGCTCAACTTTTTCCTTAATATAAATAAATACTGGAAATCATGAACAGACTTGGAAGAGTCCACTGCACAGAATTGTTACAGGAGAGGAATCAAGCCAGAAATATCTTGATTCTACATGCGATGTTTCTTGTACAGGGCAGTTTAGGATCTAAACACTATGATTGGGATTTTCCAGCTACTACAATCAGTTATGGCTGGGACTGGCTAATGTAGGGCAGCTGCTTCTTCCAAATACAAGGAAAAGAGACTGAGAGCTTCTAAAAATCCCACTGCTTTTCTGTGTAACCCCATCTGAACCTCTTAGGGAAGGAAAAAAAAAAGCCTAAAGTATCACATTTTCTTAGAGCACCTGAATTTCTTCACAGGTGCTAAAATAGAGATATATTTGACCTAACTTTTTTACTAGCATCTGTTACTTCTATCAGGGAATCAAACTGCTATAAACCAAAACTTTTCATATGTTCCCTTCTGCCAAGAAAAAAAAAAAAAAAAAAAAAAAAAGGCAAGCAGATCTAAAGTCCTCATGCTTCTTACAAAGTGCTCTGTTCTGTTGTGCCAAAAAGAGAAGCTTTGTCACTTTTTGAGTCAGCCCCCCAGCTATACAGCAGCTCTCCTAGGAGTCTTCCATTCTTGATCACTGCATGCTGTCTGGGAATAAAAATTTGATCAGAAACACACCCTGACTCAAACTGCTGATCATTTAGTGGCTGACATACGTCATCTCTTTTCACATTGAACAGCATCTCAATACATTTTGAGATTATTCTCTAAAAGCATCTAACTCCTGTGACAGGGATACACAGCTCTTTCATATAGTTTAAATTAAATGAAGGCTGAAGAGGTTCATTAATTATTAACAATGTGTAACTAACTATTAATCAGCAAGCCATACATTCAGGATAAATACAATATAACAGAGGAATCACAGTACTAAGACTTCAGCATACAAATCTCTGAATTGCTCTCTAACCTCCAAAAGCTCCTCACACACAGAGCAGCACCCTAACAGCCCCAGAGCTGTGTGCACACCCCACAGGGACTCAAACACTGCCTGCTTTTACCCCTGCCCCACTGCAGCTCTGGGGCCTGGAGCTTGCTGGTGCCCATGCTGCTCCCACCATGCCCTGGCACTGCCGAGCCCAGCTGGGATGTTCATGCACCTGCCCTGCCTCGGGGAGCCCTCACATCTCTGCCAGGGGCTCTTCCAAAGGGTTTGCTCATTCAGAAGCAAAATTTCACAATTCATTATGAGTCCACTTTTAGCTTTTGGATTTCTTTTTTTCACAGAAGAAACAGTGCTTCAGATTCCAAATTCTTTTTATGCTTCCCCACTAATTGCAATACTGTGTTGTAAAGGCACCAGTTAGTATTAGCATACCTTATAACTCATGCATTCACTGTATTTTAATTATCCTAGAAACCACAAGTTCAGGAGTAGTTGTTATTCTGATTCCTTTCTGCTTATTAGTTTTCTGATAACGCATTCCAAATTAAGTATTCCAAATTAAAACTCAGACCTTCAGAAGGGTTATCTCCTGCCCATTTCTGAAACTATTTACTAACAGACCACCTAAAAATAAAAGTATTCACCTTGATAGGTTGTAGTCGTCTACCTTTCAAGCTAATAGCAGTTCATGCTGTAGAAAAAGAGCACTCAGCACACAATGCTAGGAGCCTACTTACAAAAAAAAAAAAAAAAAAAAAAAACAATAAAAAATTATGTCCTATCATAAACAAGTATTAAAAACCTATAAGATTCTTTAAAATGGGAAATTCCAAAAATATCTTCAAACTACTGCAGCCTATATGGATTGAGATATGTCTCTTAATAATGTCTCTTAATTGACCCAGAAAATAGACACAGCCTACCCTGCTCATTGAGGTCTCAGCATGCATTCAGTTATCTTCACTTCCAATACATCCAACTTCCCTGGCTGTGAACAGCTACCCAAGCAGCCTCTGAGTTTTCACCACAGCATTAACCCCATTCTAAGTGACCCAAATAGGCTGGCATGATACATTCCAGTTACAGAGTATAAAATTCATACTTGATGTGCCTCTCCATTTTGAGCTGAATAAATTCAATCTCAACACCAGATACTGTTTGTTTTCTACTTCTCAGTATAGCACAACCACGTAGCACAGAGAAGCACATACTTTTAAATTTAAAAAATTGTTTCACTTCTTTTTACATCTTTTCCTTAAAAACATGCTATTCAACGTGCACACCACTGTGTGATATTAAATCTTGGTAAACACATGAATTCCACCAGGAGGTTGTTGCCAATAGATATCTTATTAATGTCCCCTAAAATATAGATTTTTGAGTTGTTAGGAAGGTCAGCATCTGAGATGGTATTGACTTTCATTATTTCCTCCCAGGCAGCCAAATAGATTTGAAGCCAACCAATACAGCCAAGCTTGCTAAATAATTCTCATACTCATTTCTTCAGGCAGCCTCCACTTCAGTACAGAAAGAGCCATGTGTGTGCCAGGGGCAGCTGGGCACAAGCTTAGAGTACAGCAATGTTGTATGTCCAAGCTCATTTGTGTGTCTGCCCTTCACCACCTTGTTACCCTGGCCAATGGAAAATTGAAACATCCATCAATCCCAGCTTTGTGCTGAACTTTCTGATGGCAAAAGAGTCAGGGTTGGAGAATTATGTCTTCATTTCAATTATTATTAAGTGTTCTCCACTTCAGCTCAGAAGATATTTTAGCAGCTGTATTTTAGCTTATGCCCAAAGACTATAACTGCTTCAAAAGATGCAAATACAAAAATATAAACCAATACAATTTTACATGTATATTTTTGCATATTTATATTACTCTACAATATGGACAAGTTCCTCCTGTGAAGGTGACAATTAATCTTCAACATAAGCCGGAATCCCCTGGAGCCACAATGTAATTTGGAGCATTTGGTCTTGTGCTCTAACTGACGTCAAGGAGAGCTATGCATTAATGCATTTGGGTTGTTTTTTTTTTATTTCAGCATGTGGCAAATTGATGAAAATTACAGGCCCCATTACAGTGAAGACATCTGGAACCCGATTTGGAGCCTGGATGACGGATCCATTGGCATCAGAGAAAAATAACCGAGTATGTTAAGGCACTATCTTTGTGTCCTGGAGTCTTACTTGCTTTATTTTAATCTTTTAAAATATATTTTCCTCTAGGAAGTTACATTCCTGAGCATGTTTTTCTACTTCAGTCATTTTCACACTCAAACATCTCCAGAGAAAAAGCGACAGTATTTTTGGAAAAATATCCAAAGACAAAAGTTATCTAAGCACTTTTTGTGCCATTTATTTCAACTTTTTCAGGGTTGACAAATATCTATCAGAACTAACAACCCAATTTTTTTTTTTTTTATTTCCTAACATATTTAATTGTGCTTTAAGAACCAGAGTAATCTAAAACATCGACATTTTTATCCAAGAACAGGACCCATAATGCAGCACAGGATTGGCAGGATTAGGGCCCCATATAGGCTCTAGTCAGATCATTTGCTCTATCATATCCAAGTTATGTTATTGTTTTGTTATTTGAATCTCCAATAGGATCTCAATTTGGCTACAGTTTTGAGAACATGCTCTCTGCATCAAAGAGCTCTAGAAGTCAAAACACTAGGTTTCATTTGTATGAAACCCACAACATTAATTATTTGTCTCTAGAAATTCCTTTAAGCAAGCACAATATAGCAGAGGCCCAAGCACTGAATGACTATTAACTGTAGTTAGTAACAGTTGTGTTGAGAGTTCACCTGTACAGGTAAGTTGGATTCAGAAATTCAAGAGTTCCTCCTGCTTTTGTAACAGGAATGTGGGGAATTTTTCACTTTCATAGCCTGCTGCACAGCTAAAACTTGTTTTCCTTCATTTTCTGCAAGGTGTTCCTGTAGTGGTTTTGGTTGGCCAATTTAAGATTTCTCCAGTTTTAAGACTTCCCAGCCAATGCACCAAAGAGCGTGGCAGGTTTCAGTGCTGGCCAAGCACCAATACACTCACTTCCTGCTGTGAGATAGCATTAGGAGAAAGACAAAGCAGGCTCAAAACTTTAAAAGTGTATAAAGAAGATTTTATTAACAGTAACTAAAAGGAAAAAAAAAGTAGTAGGAATCAAACCAAATCCTTCAGAACACTTCTCCTCACCCCACAACCTTTTCTTTCCCACTGACAATGTAAAGAAATAAAACCTAAAATTTCCAGTCAATTTACCACCTTTAAAATAGTCTTTCTTCAGTTCACTGATGGAGAGAAGTTGCTCTTGTTAATGTTAGGGAGACTTCTCCACAAGAGGAAAAAAAACACTGACACCAAACCGTGACACTCCTTTATGCCCTATATCATGATCACATAGCATACACTGTGTTCAAGATGGTCACTCCCAATCTTTGTTTCCTCTCCAGGTCTGGTACATGGATAGTTACACTAACAATAAAATTGTCCGTGAGTACAAATCAATCGCAGACTTCGTCAGTGGGGCCGAATCAAGGACATACAACCTTCCATTCAAATGGGCAGGAACCAACCACGTTGTCTACAATGGCTCCCTCTATTTCAACAAGTACCAGAGCAACATCATCATCAAGTACAGCTTCGACACGGGGCGGGTGCTGGCGCAGCGTAGCCTGGAGTACGCCGGCTTCCACAATGTCTACCCTTACACCTGGGGTGGCTTCTCTGATATCGACCTGATGGCAGATGAAATTGGGCTGTGGGCTGTGTATGCCACCAACCAGAACGCAGGCAACATTGTCATCAGCCAGCTGAACCAGGATACACTGGAGGTGCTGAAGAGCTGGAGCACGGGCTACCCAAAGAGAAGTGCTGGAGAATCCTTCATGATCTGTGGCACCTTGTATGTCACTAATTCGCACTTAACAGGAGCCAAGGTCTACTATTCCTACTCCACAAAAACCTCCACTTATGAGTACACAGACATTCCTTTCCATAATCAGTATTTTCATATATCCATGCTTGACTACAATGCAAGAGATAGAGCTCTCTATGCCTGGAATAATGGACATCAAGTCCTGTTTAATGTCACCCTTTTCCACATCATTAAAACTGAGGATGACACATAATTTTATTTCCCTTACCTCCCTCAAAGCAGTCTCATTTGTGATTAACTCTTAAAGCATCCATCTCTCTCAGTTCCTTTTAATTTCTTTCTTCATTAAACAAAAGCAACATTTTCTACTATGTAATGCATCTCAAATATGGCTGAACCTGTCAAAAATGACCTGTCAGAAATAAAAAGCATCTTAACTCATGATTCTGCAAGGTCTGTCAAGACCTTGTCTTGAAAAGCACTAAGGAGGATTTAAATGGCTAAAGACAGTTTTTAAAAGATTATGATCTGCCTTATTTTAGAGTCAGAGACTAATGGTGGCTTAAATGCATGAATGTCTTTTTTTACCTCATTTTTTGTTTTAATATATTGCTTAACTTCAGGAAACATTTCAGTAGTGTCAGACACATATTGCACATTGTATTTTTTTATTTATTCCGAAAGAAAGATTTAGTAGGAATTTAATTTTCTTAGACAAGGCATATGATTCATTTCGCCATCATCCAATTTCAGATGTGGTGCTGTACAGTATGTTTTTAAATCTCCTGCAAACATTTTATCAACAGTATGTATTTCTACCATTGTAACCACCATTGTGCAATTGTATCTCTTCACTTATGTGAAAGTAAACTAAGTACTATTTTTTATAAAATATATTGAAGCTTAATTGCAATTCTGGCTACGAGTCAATTGAAAGTGGTAAAAATCTGATAAAAGGTTGTTATTTCTGAGAAAGACCAGTAGTTTCTCAGATGCATGATTTCTATTCTCAGCTTTGCTTCCTAGATCCCCTCTTCAACAGCGCTGCTTACTGGCACATTTGCAACTTTGAAGCTTCACACCAGTTCCAGCTTTACAATTGTTTGCTCTGCCCAGTTTTTATCTCCTGCTGCTGGCTTCTCTCTCTCTCTGTCTTTTTCTCCTACTTTCTTCCCTTCCACCATTTGACTGCCCTTGTTTATGCTTATTCCTGCTGTGAATTTTACAAGCCAGAAGCTGGAAGGGGCTGGTGCCCACCAGCTGAGAGTGGGAGTGCATCCCGTGTTATCCCGTGTTTGTGCTGCTCTGGGACACTGCAGAGCAGTGGTAAAAGCCAAGCTGCTCTGCATCTGCCCATCTTCTTATTCATTATAGGAGAACATTTATCTGTTGACAAAACTCTTCTCTGGGATGGCAGTAATCACAGAAAATACACCATGGAAGGTGCAAAGCCCAGATGATCAGTGTGGCCCCTGCTATTCACCAAAATTCTTGTTAGGGAACAACGTCAAGGCCAAGCTCTTGCAAAGAGGTTTGGGGCTTGCTGGCAGGAGAATTGCTACACACAAATGGATGCCTTCAAGAAACAAATATTTCTGAAAGCTGTGTGGGTTGCTGTACTGTCTGATTAGAAACTGGGGGGCAGGGAGAGGTGTGCATAATTGAGAAAAATTGAATGAGGTGCTATGTGTCTCTTTTGGCAAAAATAGAAAGAAAGTAACATTAAGCACTAGTAATCAGTCTTTTTTAATAGCTGGGCTCTAACATAATGGTAAAAGACAGGTATCTGAAAAATTCTATGAAAGCTGTGTTCCTCACACTCTATGAGTTTCTATTTTTATATCCATTGAAATTGAAAAGCCAGGTTTTTTTTTGCTGGTTCTTCTAATGTACCAGCTGAGACCACCTAAAAGTCTCATTAATGTTTTCGTTATTATAAATATATGCATCTATATATGTTTACAAGTATGCTTTATAATACAAGCCCATGTGAAGCTCAACAAATTGCCTTATTTTTCATACCAGTTTCAAAACAAAAAAATGCTAATAAGTTTTTAAAAATTGACAAAGGAGGCAATAAACCAAAAACAAACAACAAATTATATAACAACATGACCAGAGAAAAGTTACTTTCTTGCTCCCCCTCTCCCCCTTTCCTGTCTAGATGAAATGGTAGCTGTTATTCCATACAATCAGTTACACAGAATTTGGACAGACTCCGTTCAGCTGAATAGACAAATCACTTCCCTCCTGTAACTGACTTTCCTGTATTGACAATGAAACCTCCTCTGTGACATGTGAAAATGTATATAACTACTCATTAAAAAAGGTATTTTATGTCATACAGGGATGTTTTATGAAAATGGAGTATGTTCAGATTTTTATCAAACCCCATAAAACAAACCTCAACCTTTCCCCTGTACAGAGTAACTTCAACAAGAGAGTTTTTTTCAACCAGTATAGCATATGTAAAAACATTAGTAATTAGATTGAGAAATTAAACTTTTTTCTACTGTATCATCATAAACTAGAAGAATAGTCACGATCACTTTATCTGAAAACAATTATTACTCCCGTGTTTATTCATAAGAATTTCATACTGTGTAATTAGCATACATACAGTAGTACAGGTTGATAACAGTTCTTACAGTAAGATTACTCTCACCTGACTTCAGTACCATTTACAGGGTAACACACTCCCAACAGTCAAAGGAAAGAAAAACCCTACTACAGCGTGCTAGAGATGGATGGAAAAGAGGGGTAGCAAAAGCACCTTTGTAAGGTGGTTTGTTGAACCAAGATAAATCCTGCCCTTCTAAAGTAGTAACAAGGTTTATATTGGATTCCAATATTTAAACATGAAATAACAGCTTCCATACAATCAATGCAAAACATGGGAAGGCATTATCAAGTAACACAGAACAGGAGTCCTAAATTTCACCAAGCTGTACTGGCAGCAGAGAGGGATGCAGACAACCCCTAATCTCCTCCAGGAACACAAGTTGCCAATCCTCCAGGCATCCTGGCCTGAGGGAGCCTAAGGAAGGTGAACAATGCACACCACAAAGCCCACAGCACTCTCCCTGGAATGGACTAACTACTCCCCAGGACAAAATGGTCAGAACAAACCTTCCCAGAGAAAGCTTCCTGCACAGTAATGATCTTCTAGAGTCCCTTCTGGCAATTTGTGCCAGTGAGTAGCTACCAAGCCTGCTGTTACAAAGGCTGTGCAGCCTGCCCTGTTTGTCACAGTGTGCCCAGCAAACCCCTGGAAGGGTGATGTGGAACCTCCCCAGCACTGTAAGCACTGCTAACAAAAGAAGGGATGCAATTCCAAAAATTAAAAGAAAATAGCTGAGTAAGGTGGATTGATACAAGGTTTTAATCTCAGATTGCTTATATCTAAGAATCCTCCTTTTCAGACAAACCCAGGGGCACTAGCTGTCACTCAGCCCAGCAGGCTGGATCCACAGCAAGGGCTGTTTGTTTCAAAGCACAGCCTAAACAAACCTGTTACCTGGTAATCTGTCATAATCAATTGCTTAGAAAATGCTGGAGTAGAGATGAACAAACCATTCACAGCAAATTACTCATCCAGTAAATTGTATCCTGTTCCAGTTCAAGAATTGCCAGGGAACAGTCTTGATACATACTGATGTTTGTGCCAGTGAAAACAATTTTTGGAAATCATTTGAATAAGCACCTCTTCCTGTAAATCACCTGAACATTCCCTGCTGTGAATCTTATATCCTTGACATGCAGAAGGCAATGCTAGGCATTTGGGCATCTTTTCCTTAAAAGGCAAATGAGGGCTGCAGATCTTTGGGGCAGAGCTGCATCACAGGCTGCTGTGCTGACAAGCTCCCCACACCACTGATTCCCAGCAGAGCAACTCCTGCACCACAACAGTGTCACAACTGCACCCCTCCAGAAGCTCACACTCAAAAAAACTCAAGCATGCAAACTACCTCCCACAGATCATAAAGCCAAATCCTGAAACTCACTTCCCCACCAGAAATAGAAAACTCACTGAGAAGAAAAATCACATTTTCTTAGAATCAGAAATTCCTACTCAACTCACATGCTTCTTTGCCAGCTGAGCATCAGCAGAAGAGCCTCTGGACTTTTCCTGTATCTCTACTGCTTCAGAACACTCAATTAATTACATTGCAGAAACATTTCAGCAGTCCAAGTGAAACAAAGCTTCCTCGGGATTTTGTTTCAAAAAAATGGCAGAGTTTTCAACACAGCTCACTATAAATGAATACAATATTTAGATCAGCTGCATTCTGACTCCCCCCCTGCATCCACTGTACAGAAATACCATTTTCCCTAAAAACTGTGTGACTGATATACCATGGCAGCACAGGAAAATGTATGAAGATGCATAAAAATGGCAGTTTACAACTCAGATTTGACATTTCAAAAATGTCTATTTTACTGTGACTTTTGTACACAAGTTTGAATTCCTATTTACACTGTTCTTATAGTGAACATGAACAGGAAGAGCCCACTGGGTCAGAAATACCAATTTTTCCCTCACATATTATCAGTCACATACCCAAACCACTCCAGCTTATTTTTCTTTGCATTTTCTATTCTTTTGTATGTTCTAATCATCTTGATCTTCACTTAAAACCGCCCCAAACCCTCTCATCGTGTAGTATGTTTAATACTGTTCAGATAGAACTCAAACTGCATAGAAGATTTATAGTACAGCAAGTTTCATCTGGAGAAAGTATAAATTTCTTTTTCCACTTATGTAAAATTTAGCTCTAGCATGCCCATAAAACTGCCTACAAGCAATACTGATTGTATATCATGGATTGCTCCACAGAAATAATTTAAAACAGATTCAAGATAACTTTCTTCCCTTTTATTAATTTTAAAGGAAACATGTTGTTTCATATCTGCCATGGCAAGAAATTCCTTGTAATTAAATCCATCATTGACCCCAGGAGGTTTAGACATCCATTTCTCCTTTCTGGATGGCAGCTGCAAGGTGGTCAGCAGCACTTCCAACTCCATGAAATCAGACCTCACAGGAACTGAGGTGCACGCTGTCAAAGGCCCTTACGCCTTTCCAGTTAAGCTCCAAGTCTGTGCCACAGAATGCAAACAGGCCATTTATTCAGGCTTCCCTCATCTCAGTAAATTTGGCTTGCTGTCACCTCGAAGGACATCGCAGCTTGCTGGTGGCCCGGGACTGTCCCTGTCAGTGCAGCAGTGGGACAGACGGGTGCCCTGGGGAGGTGAGGGGCGCAGGAGAGCTGCGGATGCTCATTACCGCGGCCCTGGCAGCCGCTTTTTCCTGAGGGAAGAGTACACAGCACTCGGGACTGCCAGCTTATTTACAGACACTAATTCAGACCATTTCCCACCCCGTCAGGAAAACAAGGACATTTGTACAAATCCCATTGCTGAGGCTGAGCACAGTGGACACAGAAGTGCTCAGCTTAAGCTCAGCAGAGCTTCTTGGCTCACCAGATATTAGATTTTTCAGTTCTCAAGTCAGTGTATCACTCATTAGCTCACTTGTGCTGAAACAAATATGTGTGTCCAAAAGTTCAGCTTCCACATTCTTACACTGACTGTTAAAGCTTTGCCGGTTTTGGCCTAGTAAGGAGGTTGTGTCTATTGGTAAAGTGGCTGGTTAATTCACAGTCATGGTATGCCTGCCATGGGTGACTCCTTCCAGTAATTTCTGAGGAGAAAACATCACTTCATATGGAGTTACTTTGGTCCCTGCATGGAGGAGTCCAAAGGCTGCTCCCACACTGGGCAGTGTCAGGGAGGGGCATTTCCTTGGGCACAGGAGGAACAGCAGGTCCCTTCCTAAACATGTTTTAGGCTCTTACATCTCTGGACTAGCTCTCCTCACAGCTCAAATCTCACCAAAGTATTTACAAAAGCAGTTCTGCTCACCAGCCAAATGAGGGAGGAAAACATGACAATTTGTATATGCTTTGACACTTATTTAGGAGATTCACAGGCTTTATCCTGGCCCTGTGCCCAGGAATGAATTACACTCTAAAATACTAAACTGCACTCTTATGGCAAATGCTAAAATGCTGTTATTCTAATAGCAACTCAATATCATGATAGAGAGCAGGAAAATGACACACGGCAGAGCTCCTCATCTGAAAGACAATAACACTGTAAAATATAACATATTAAAAAAATTATCCCAATTATTGTTTCCCAATACATGCTCTAGCTTAATAACACTCATAGCTTTTCAACAGAATATACCAAATACCAGCTCAGTTGATTTTACTGGTATACTGAATAATAATACTCATTACATGACTAGGTAATTATGGAATTGAATATGTATGTACCATCTAAAAATTAATACTTATGTCATTCAACAGACTCACAAAAAATTTTAAAATCCTATAATTATGAGCATTGAACACTGCTTATTTTCCATATCAAATTAGAACAAGGAAATACATTTAAATAGAAATGTTTTATGCCACAGTGTAGGATGATTTTTATCTTTTTATTAAAGATAAAAATTAGAAATCAGCATATATAGTGCATCAAATACTTATGGATGAAAGAGCTATATAAATTTCAGTTTTGTGTTTTCCTTTCCAAACTGCACTTTAAAAAAGCACAAAATCAATTTTGCAGATAATATAGACAAATGCAGATATAAATATAGACACGTGACTTTAAATGGGGTTGTGCATGATATTTACAACCATGCCTGGAGATAATATAGCATGTCCGGGAAAGAGAACACACTGACTGAAGCAATAACAGCCAAAAAACAACCCAGTATGCAACGTAAGAAAACTACTCCCCTGTTAGCCAGACTTCCCAAAACGGAGATATTTCTTCTACCTGGAACAAAATTAGTTATGCCTTGCAGAGGCTGCAGCCAGCCAGAGAGACTGGGACAGCCACAGCCCCCAGTGTCCAGGCAGCTGCCACCCCATGCAGTGAAAACAGCAACTTATTCAACCTGTGGAAACTGTGAAACTCTCAGCAGATTGTCCTGAGAAATCCTAATGTTCCACATAATGGTCACCTGAGTAATCAAAGGAACCTTTGTAACGAAGTTAAGTAAACTGTACAGTATGACGGGCTTTGTAAGAAAGCAGTCTTAGTCTAAACAGCTCCAAAGTCATTTGCCAAAGCTTTGTGCCACTGTGTAGCTATTCCACTTGGTGGCACAGCCTCAAGAATATTTTGTCCATGATTGCCATCTGGCCACCCAGGAATTAGGGAAGAAAGACTAGGGTGATTTATTAGATTTATTACAGAAATTCTGATAAATAAGCAGATAGCTACAGCAAGTCTAAGTCTAGAAACGCTAATGAGGGTTTTTTGCAACTTTTTTTCTGATTTGTATTCTTTTGGAATGCCTCCATCATCTGCTATTAAATAGAGATTCCTCTGGCCTGCCAAATAACCCATTTTAAATAACATACACTTACATATATTGAAATAGAAATTGGCCCCATTGTCATGCCTGGATATCTTGTCTGTGTGAATGCACCTATCAATATTAACAGCTAAATTATCTTTCACTGACACCACTGGGCCCAGTCCTGTAAAATTTCAGAGCCCTTTTACAAAGTGCTTCATTAAGTTATGGAAAAGGGTCTTTGGCATTTCAGGTAATTAATTAGATATCTCTTAAGCAAATACTCTTCTGTTTCCCGTCTACATAAACAATGCTGTCTATGAATTTTAAAAGAGGCATTAAGAAACCATATCTGAAGATATTTTTTATATCAATAAGAGTTGTAAGAGAACTGACTGAATTATCTGTGTACCCAGTGATGCTGAGGATGTGTGAACAGTGGGAAGTTTCACCTCTGTTCTTCTTCAATCAATCCCAAACTATTGGACTCAACAAAGAACCAATACTGGAGTCAATTGTGGAGAAGTGTAATGGCCTGTGAAATATGAAAGGTCAGATTAGATAATGCATTATTCAGTACAGATTTACACTCTGTATGAATCTCTGGCAGATTTAGATCTAAATAGTTTATCAGCACTTTTGGGTGCATTCTTCCATTCAGATTTATTAAGAGTGAATAAACACACAGCAGTGCTTCAAGAAACATAAAAAGGTCAACATTTAAAGATTGTCTCATTGATTGGGACTTTCCTGCCCTTATGGAAATTACTGATCTAGTAAGTCACATGGAAGTTGTTATGAGTAACCCTTTGTGAGTTTTTGCTTCAAAAAGTCAGATAATGCTAAACAATGGTTACTTTGGGCTGTCTTTTGGCAATATACATGAGGTATCCAGTATTTAATCAATTTTAACAATTGTCATTATCGTAAAAATTATGTTGGGAGTCTACTGGATAATGATTTACTTGTAAATATTGTAGAATGATTTCTGGTTTTCTCAATCACTGTTACAGATTTGCCAAGAATCAGGACTAATCACAAGCTTTTAAAGAGTATAGTTCTACACATAATTTCAGACTAGCAAATCCAGTTAAAGAGCTTCCCTCTTTTCACCTCCTGTCTGTTTCCAACTTGCTGCTGCTACTGCTCACAGCCTGTTTGAGCTGATACAACTTAGTGGGGTGCTGTGTAATTGAAAAATGGTCACTCCCAATGTGAATAAACTAGAGTTCAATAGGGAAAAAAAACCCCAAAAATGGCAGGGGGGAACATGGAACATAGACAACTAGATAGATATTGCCATATAGACACAAAAACAGCCATAAATGTCTCATGCCCTATAAATGTGGCACTCAATGATTTGGTTTATAAATTCAGTTAAGTTAAACAGAAAAGAAAGATTCTAGGACATGATTGCAACCTTGAATTATAGGTTCTTCCAGGCCTCTATCTTGACTATAGTAAAGTTAATATGGCATGTGGAATATAAATATTAAAGCAAGAACCCCAACAGCTGGATGCAATAAATGGACTTCCGCTTTTTTCAGAGAAATTTAAGAAAACTGCCTTTAAAATAATAAAACAAAAGTATGTTACAATAGCTATATAGGAGGAGATAATGGATGATGGTGAGCTACTGATGGATTAGGCTGAGTAAACCTCTCAACCTCTTTGGGTAAGGAGAGAAGCATTACAGGGACTGTCTGAGCTCCACCAGTCCCCACAGCAGCGACTCTCCCGAGTGGCTCTGCTCTGCCTCAGTGCCTGTCCAACAGAAAAAGCAGATCTCAGGCAGGGGACTCACCCTGTCCCAGCGTGGCTTACAGGAACCCAAACAGACTGAAATAACCACAAGCCAGATAATCTTGGCAGGCATTAGACACCAGATAACTTGACCCTTACTTTTACACATTTATGTCTGGCTCTTTTATCACTGTGGTTTGTGCCTGGATGATACTTGCTAATAAAAGCCATCTTTCCTAACCACCACCTTTTATTTTAGAAATATATAGGAGTGATTTAGACATCTCCATATTCCCATTTAATTTTATTATCAAAGACAGACACCAAATAATTTTGTTTGGTTTTTTTTCATCCTTGAAGATGCAATAGTCCATAGACAATATTTCCTTTGTCTACTCAGCTTCCAAGGCACTACATTAAAATGCTATGGGTAGAAATATTTCTAAGATAATGTATGAAGACACTAGCTTCACCTTTCTGATTTTTTTTTTTTTTGTGATATCTGAGCCTTCTTCTTTCTAAAGTAGCTATCACTTCTTCAGTAAGTAATTTATTGAATAAATGATCCAGGCCCATCCATCTAATTTCAGCAGAAAAGGCTGAAATAAATACCTTTCACACTATATTACAAAATTACATGGACTGTAATTTAGCAAATAACCATGAATTTCTACAAAACATCTATATGAAAAAGTCACTTTATTAGACAATTTTCTGGCTCAGTAAACCATCTTCCAGACTCTCCAAACCTGTGCTAAGTAACCAATTGTTGCTGTGTCACTGACTCATGACAGGCAGCTTTTACTGCATTAATATGCTAAAGATTCTTCCATTATTTCAATTTTACAGAGCTCATTCATCAGTATCACTTACAACAATACTGAGATGCTATGCTAGCATTCAGCTACAATTTCCAGAAGTACTAAATAGCTTTTCTCTCGTTAATAAATCATTACAGAAACTGAAGTTGCCAGACCATATCAGTCATGTTGTTCACAACCATTGAGGCCAAGGCCTTTTTAGGGGAAAAAATGTTCTACCAGCTTCACAACTACCATGTGGAAGCAAAAACCTGTATAAATAGCCAGTTTTCCAGCTAAATTTCTATCTGTGCTGTCACACCAGGTTTGAGAGCTGTGTCAAACCTGTCACTCCTGGAGAGTGGAAGACATTCTCAGGATAACAACTACACATCTTATGGAGGGGGCTCAGACTGTAAGAGGAGGAGTGCCCAGCTGGTGCTAGTTACTTCATCCCTCTTTATCATCAACCACTTGTGGGAAATTTAATTCTTTTTTTACTATTTTGGGATCTATCAAGCATAAATTAAAAGACTGTATTAAATGTAGTCAATAATAAGAACAGGCAATTCAAATTCTTACAAGAAATAATCCCATTATTTAATTTCACAAGTTTAGTATCAGCTTCTATAAAGGTCTACATTTAAATACAATAATACTTTGATAGGACTTTTTCTGCTTGAGAACTGGATCTCTAGTTTATATAATTTAAAGTAGCTAAATGCTTATAATATATCTTTGGGAAAGAAAATTCCCACTAGAACTTGCATATTAAGTTAAGCTTTTCTACTGAGAATATTATTAAATCCCACTAAACCCTATTTCCATTCAGCCATCAGCATCTCTGGGCATAAATACATAGAAAGAATGCTATAAGGGATTATGTTTGTGAAAGAAGATCAGCCAGCATTCTTGACTTGTTCCTTAGCAACAAAATAATGATGATTCCTTAAAAAAAAATTGTTTTAATTTCCCTAAATAAAGAAGTTACTGATAATACCAGTTTAAATCACTTCAGTACTTTTAAGAACCTTAGAAAGATTAAATCTTGAGAACAACTCCTGGAGATGAGCACTTTTCTTGCTGTTACTTGCATAATGGCCAGGAATATCAAATAAGGTATTATATCAGATCTGCCCCCAGATATTCTGAAAATTAAAGATGTCATTAAACATATAGAATGATGTATGAAAAAAAAACTTTTATATTTGTTTAATAGAGTGTGAACTTATCCAACAGAGAGAGAAATTTCTTTTGAAGCACTTTAGACAGGTGGAGAAAGAAGATACAAATTGTAAAACACTCCAATAATTTGTTCTAGAGAGAAAATATTTGGTTTGGTGCTAGTTTTTCTTTTATCTAAGTATACTTCAGTGTCCTTAGAAACTGTTCAATTCATTACCAATAGTGAAACAGAATTTTCTTTTGAATAATGCCCTGGTGGAGGCTACACAAGCAGCCTACCTTTGCTGCATGAGTAAAGACAAGCACATAGAGCCAAATGTATTTCCTGTTTCCAGAGACTGCAGGTTAAGAAAACCTCTGTGGATGAACATTTAACCAGTCTAGTGTAAGTCTTCAGCTTTCTGAAGAATTTCTTTATTGCATTTTCTACACTGATTTTCCCATTATTAAGTTTTATATTTTACATTTTCAATGTACCTTTGGAGCTTCATTTTGATAGCTGATACTACATCTTTTCCTACATTCTATAACAGTTCCAAATACTCTTTGTGTATGGCCATATTTAGATTTAAACAAACTCTCCCAGTGTCTTCACACTGGCTAGCAGCAAGTATTTCAATTCATGTTTGGGGAACCTTTAGGGGGTTTTATGGCTGTACTGATAAGACAGAAATAGTGGGTTTTTGCTTTTGTGGAATTCATGTGACACATGACTGAAAATTACAATACAAAAGAGTACAGGAACACCATGTAAAATAATAAATCAGATCACTCAAGCAGCATAAAAGCAGCAAACCTGAATTGAAGCCAATGTTATTTGTTTAGCCCAGATAACAAGTCAATGTGTCATTGGAGTTAAGACCCTGAAGGAAAGGGAGGTTTTGGCTCTAAAACACTAAATGAGAAAAGAAAGAGATGTGTCTGTGACTTCAAGAGCAGCTCTCATCATCTTGTGTTTGTCTTGTAATGTTCTAGGGGCACCTGGATTTGAGACAATTCCTTCAGCAGTTTCCAGCTTCACACTACTAAAAACCAGAAGTGCAGCAGCTGAGAAGATGATTGAGTGACAAGATACAATAAAGTTTGTAGTCTACAGACTACTTCAGAGTTCCATACCTTGGCCATCACTGATCATGAGAATAAATCAGACAAGCAGATTAAACATGCACTCTAATATCAATTATATTCATAAAATAAAAGTGCAGTGAATGTTAACTAACACTGAAGCCCATTCATTCACTTCAGTGCATCACAAAATCATCAGTTATTACTTTAATAAATCTCATTTACCCTACAAGGTGTCTGGTTAAATGAAATAACTTTATCAAAATATATAGTTAAACTATAGTTGCCTGAATCTAGATTTAATTTTCCAGTGCTTTAGCTCAGACAAATGTTTTTAATCCTGCACTCCTAAAGCTGTGGCATTTTTCTATTCTGACCTTTATCTGGCATGCATGATGGATAGACACTGCATTGGCAATACAACCATACATAGATTTCAACTGCCACAGCAGGAAGAAAAAACAATGTGCTAAGAGTAGTCAGAAAAGACTGCCAAGTACTGTATTCTTTTTCCTTCTTTGAACTAGAAGACCCTGTAGCTGAATGCACTTAAAATACCTGTCTTTCTCTAAGAGATGACGTAGAAAATATTTTGAAAATCAAAGGATCACCATTTTTTTTATCTTTGTAAAAATGACAGGTAAATTTACAGTATCAATATAAGTAGATAGAGACACAAAATATTCTTTATTCTTTTTTCCTCCAAGAAATACTAAATATGATTGAAAAACGTGTTATTTTGCTACATAATATGTGGCATAAGACAATATCTATTGTTGTAATTGCAAGGAGAAATATTTAGCAGCATTTCTATTAATTCCTTTTTATTTATCCACTAGTTAGTGTTGTATGTCAAACAAGTGAAAAAAAAACAATAGAATAAATCCAGAATCAGTGTTTCCTGTAACAAAATCCATTCCTAATTAAGGAGACTTTCCTGCACTCCAAACTGCAAGAACTAATTTGGCTTTTTGCACCTGCACAGTGTAATTCCTGCATTTCTGTGCTTTGATACAGAGTGGCAACAGAGTCTCAGGCAGTTTAAAATTAACTTCTGGAAAACAGCAAAGGGAAGAATGGGTATCTAGTTTAGCTGTGGATCAAGGAGTGCTTTGCAATCATGTCCTCGTACAGCAAAGCACACTGGGCAAGTCACCCTCTGTCCTTTCTTCCCTCATGACCCCCAGGTTACTCCAAGTGCTGTTGTTTTCCCCAAACCTGTGGTTAACCTCCCCAGGACAGGACTCCTCACACACACTGAGCAGCAGAGTACATGTGTGGTGAACATTACACCCTGGAACTCCCACACCATTGCAGAGAGAAAAGGGATAAGAGGATGAAAAAGGAGAAAATAAATGCTGCCTTCAATTGCCATTTATACATAGAAGCTGAGGGGTACAAAAGGCAAACCAGATTAGCTAAATGAATGAAAAACAGACAGCACATGCTTGTGCCACGCCATCCCTCCTCCCAGAGACACAGCCTCTCACTCCTCCTGTCCCATCAACACAGCGGGCCATACTCAGCTTTGTCTCACTCTCTCTCCACTTATTTCAGGAGATCAATAAAGCCATTAAAGACTCTTTGTTCCATACTTCCCTGCAGCTAAACATTGGTTTACAGTCACCAGAGAAGTTCTGTCAGCCTCTGTGCACGTCTCTGGTTCTACATGATAAGAGCACTTTTTATAGGTAGTGAAAGGCTTATTTATGCCTCATCAAACACTGTGGAGTTGTTGGCAGTCTCTGTGAAACACAGCACATTGTTAACCATAGATTAAAAAAAACAAGTGGCAAAACTGGGAAATGCCTGTTTTCCAGGAATTTTAACTGTATTTACATTTCATAGCTGTGGCTGTAGAGGATGTATGTACTTACTAACTTTTGGGATATACTGAACAGATCATCTTTTGTCCACAGAAACACATCTGTGGAAATAGTCACAGCTTATTGTAATTGTATACCACTTACCTAAGTTTTCTTGCAGTAAATAGAAATTATTAAAGTTATATCTCATAAGTCAATGCAAATGCTGCCCCTGAGCAGATAGTGGCAAGAAAATTGCTTTGTTATTTTTCTAATAAAATTTTAAAAAATGAACATAATTTTCTGATCCACAATGTCTGAAAGATAACAGAAAAGCAGTTCATGCCAAATTAACAAAAAATTCAATTCTGTCCCATCCCCATCAGCATTTAGTTAAAAAGGGAGAGTTCAAAATACTCTTCAGAGTATTCTTGGCTGATATCTACTGCCTGCTTCCCCAGGCATTTGAAATGTTTTGAAAATTCAAAGCCATTAACCATATCTGCAAGCCTGTTGGCAGCCTCAGGCTGGATATTGGATAAAAGACCCGCACCACAGCAACTCCCTGAGAGCTCCTGCTTTGCCCTTTCAGGTAGCACTGTACTTGTATGTCGTAATAGCTGCATTTCAGTTCAAGCACAGTTCCAAGGGAAACAAGCCTTTTGCTATGCATCTGCAGGTGACCATGGGGTGCTCTAATTTGACCATAAACTTCATCCTCAGGTGTGTCTGCTCAAGCTACAGCCTTGATTGATCCACTGGTCAAACACTGCCCCACTCTTGGAAGAGCAGAGATGCCTGAAGAGAAGTATTCTGTCAAATCTCTTAAAGCCCTCACTTAAGAATCAGAGGGTTTTTTCCAGCTGGCAAACCTGATTTCTGAAAATCAAATGTTGTCTATTAGAAGTCAGAGTTAATTATGACCTTATCAAAGAATGTTCAGATATGTATAGAAACAGTACAAACTGACTCCCTAAGGTGGGATGGCTACCCTGCAAAGAAATCAGAGCCATGAAAAACAGAGAAATAAAAAAAACACTGCTTTTGGTATCTGTGGAAAAGACTCTCTGCTGCTGCACACACCTGCACATACTCATCCTATTCTTCTCATTGTTGAAATCTAAAACTATGTGAAGCAATAACAGTAATATCCCTACAAGTGACAAGAATTTTTGTAGATAAAAAAAATACCATACATGAATACTTCCAAATAACATTAAGTACAATTTTAACAAGTAGTTTACAATCCTTCAAGAATATCCTTCAAATAATAATTCAACAGAGTAAATACAAGAGTCTAAGGCAAGTGCCAAAGTGTTTTATAACAATAACATAGCTATTTGAAGAAACAAAACAGCCCAATAGTTTATTAATTTAAATAGTTCATTAGCTTTTCCATAGGGGGGAAAAATCTATTAGCACTAGGAATGTAAAGAATACTTAAGGGTGAGGGATGTCTGCCATCACACTGTTAGCAAACAGCTGAAACCTCTATTTAGGCTTTCTCAATTTTTCCCATTTGTGCCTCAGCTATGCATATAAGCCAACAGTAATTATTTCAGCAACATGCAGTGCCTCCTGTGTGCCTGATATAATACAAAATACCCATTCTTATTCTTAATCAATGTTTGTTCACTTCCTCTCCATTTGCATAGTTGAATGAATTGTTAGTTCTAAGCATAACAAGAACTGCTCCAAACCTCCAGACAAAAATCTTGCTGTAAGTACAAAGTAAAGGAGAATCTTTAACAAGGCATTTCAGAAACATCTCATCTCCAGTGTATTGGCCAGAAAACTACTGCTTCTCAGATCTGCTTATTCACCACATACACGGGCACCTGTATTTCACTGTTCCTGCTCTTTGTTCATCACACAGGTACTGAGCTTTAAAGAGGCCAAACTGATTCTGAGCTTATAAGGACATTTCCACTGATTAGACCACAAGTATATGAGCATAGGCTCTCTCGGGGTGCAGGAGAAGCACAGATGTGCTTCTCAAATATTCCAGTCAGTTTTCCAAGTCAGTAAAATCACAGGCTGACAAGGAGTAAGAAAATAATTAGAACAATACATCCAAGATCAAATCAAACACAGGGACATAATCCATCTTTCAACATATATTGTTTCTTAGATTAGTGACATATTTAGAAAATGTGTCTAGAGCAAATAAAAACTTTAAATTTTGGTATGTTCATGATAGTGATCATGTGTGACACAATCAAAATCTGCCCAACTACTAGCATTTCACAGAGTCAATGAGAATGATTTAAAAGTAAAATTTTCAAATGTGTTCAATGTTTTCAAATATCTACTTAAGCCAGTTTCCACCAACATTTCCTTGTAGACAAATTTTAAATAATTAAAACTAGTAATATCAGCCAACTTTACTACCAAGACAAACAGCTCTGTCTGAAGTGAACTGGACACATTGTTAGCAGCAGCTGGGAGGCACTGTGCTGAAAGCAGCCTTTGGTATAGCACTTCTCATTTATAGCAAACGTGACTGCCAGAAAGCCTTACTACATATATAAGGCACCTCGGTCAGACTTTGTTCCTTTAGGACTAGCAGAACAAGTAATGTAAAAGTATTCCTGGCCCTAGACTCCATGCATACAGGTTAATTCAAAGAGGGCAAACACTGCCAAATCTGAATGCAGCCAGATAGCACCTCATTAAAGTGAGACAATTTTAGTCAGTTCTGCCTGGAGCCACCATCCTGCCTCTTTTAAGTACCTAACCAAAATTATTAACCTAGAGATGTGGCAACTCTGAACTCTGCAGCTAAATGAACTCATCTAATCCCTCAGGATAACAACTTCAGGGAACTCTAATCTTAACTTTGGTGCTGCAGTTCCCTGCCTAGGGATAGCTGAGCTTAACTGATCCCCATCTGCACCACTACAAGGCTCAGGGCACACATGTATGTCAAGGTGTCTGCTCGTGGCTATGTTTTGGGGACAGGTCCCTTGAAAGGTATTGTGGAACTATTTAAAACATCAAGAAACTGAAAATGAGAACTGTTCACACTTAGAACAGTATGCATTTTACTGCTCATAAAATGAATACAATTTTCAGAGAATATAAGGAAAATGAACATACTGGCACAGTCCAAAATTTGCCTGAGCTATCAGTTATTAAGAGCCACCAAACTGTCTTACACTGCTTTCCATTCACCCAAGCCCAGAAATAGTTTAGGCACACAGTACCCATGTCTATTGTGCCCAAGGAACAAAATCTCCCTAATGAAGATAAGGCCATCTAGAGGCCTCAGCTCTAATCTTATCTGCATTATAAAATGCTACTTCTATTCTTGTGGGAGGAAAGGGGAAGCATGAAATATAAGCA